GAGAAGAGCCCGGGAGACTGCGGGGAGAGGCAGGTTGGCGTAGTAAGGCGGGCTGCCTCGTGCCCGCGCTGCCCGCCTCCCCGCCTATCTCTTGTCAGTGGAGTACTGCGGACCCGGGGGGCGAGGTACTGCGGACCGCCCTTCTGCGTCTGGCTGGCTCTGGCCGCGCACATGGCAGGTTTGCAGGTGCCCAGTAGGTTGAGTGGGGCACGGAGGGGTTCCCTGTGTGTCCCGGTCCCGGCTGCAGACTGATGGGGCGAATGACCCTAGGAAGACGGAATCTAGCCAGCTAGACACCTTCCTGGCTCAGATAAGCAGTGACTGCCATCATTCTGGCCCTCTCCGGCACACTGGAGGCAGCTTCGGAGTCCCAGTATTAATAGGTATCTAAATTAGATAAAAATTGATATATCATCAGAGAAAGACTAGGCCCTCAAAGAAGTCAGCACAAGAAATAAAGACATCAAAATCATAACTGGAGGTGCAAGATGGAGACACAATGGCCAGGCTTGCATGCCTCCCTGAGGGATAAACAACTTGAGATTACAGTTAGCACCACCTGGTCCAATAAATCCAGATAGGCACTAGATGCCCAAGTGACCAGAGCATCTCGACCCATCCCTCCTGTGGTGGACTGACAACTGGTGGTCAACTTGTAACACCCAGCTGAACTGAACCAGCGTGCTGCTGGGTATGGGAGGCCCTCTTGAGGATTGTTGCCAGCAAAACGAAAAGGAGAACTGGAGAAGAATTGTGCTGTTAGGGAACTGTTGGTTCTCCTGGAACTGCGGGTTCTCCTTGAGGCGCTTGTCGTGCTGGCTTTCCTGATGAACTTGGCTGTTCTCCCCAGAGGAACTCAGGACCTTGCTGTTGCTGAGGATGGCTGCAGTTCACTTTGGGGGAGCTCTGGTCCTTACTTTGAAAATTGCTTCCTGGCTCCAGAGGGGAAGGTGGTGTACTGCTCAGTGTTCTGGACAAGCTCGTCACACTGGCCTTCCTGATATAGACTCAGCTCTTCTCATTGTGGGAGGAGCTCGGGATCTGATCGCTGAGGATGGCTATGGTACCTTTCCAGGGAGCTCTGGTGTTTACTTTATCACTTCCTGGCTCCAGTGCAGATCTCTCAGCCTGCTAGCACAGGTCCTTCATCCCGCTGGCACAGACTTTCTAGCTTCCACCACTGAATTTGGGCCTTCACAGCACAAACCCATGAAACACACTTGCGTCGGACATTGTCATGGGCCCTTGGCCTCCAGTTGGACTTGTGTGGGCATCGTGATGGGCTCTAGGTCTTTAGCTGGACTCATGCAGGACATTGCCATGGGATCCAGGCTCTCAGCTGGATTCTTTTGGTCTTTAGTGTGTGGACAGATTTCCTGCACTTTTTGTATATGACTCTTTGGGTGACTGTTATGAAATAATCTTATAAATTAGGCGTCCTGTATTGTATTGCTTCCCTTGCAAACCCTAACTACAACACCTTCCCCAAAATACTTTTGTTCTTTCAATATACCCTTGCTATGTGGTTTGTTTCCCTATTAGAACAGTATTAGCTGGTAACTATACTTAAGGCCTATAGGCTGATTATAGTTTGATCCATGTTATACCCACTTTGTGGCTTTGCTATATAAATTACCCCTGACAAAGGGCCTTAGTAGCCACCCTATTTGAAACACCCCTCCCCCCAAAAAAAGTCCAGGAGCTATTCTTCCTCTTATTTCTGAGAAAGCTCTCCAAACTTCTTCCTTTATTTGTGACTTCATTCCTCAATGTTGTGAGACCACAAACTCAGCACATTTGACACCAAATAAGTTGAGAGTTACATTTTTCCTATATCACCAGGATGGGTCTGGGGGATGCCCTGGTATAGGAGTAGGTGGGGCTTGGGAGAATTTAACTGTTCAAGGGAGTCTGAGACAGTCTCCAGGCAAGGATGCTGTGCATTCATTCATTCATTCATTCATGTAACAGGGACCTAGGGGATGGGCCCACAGATGCTCAATGGTAATAAAAGCTTAGTAACTTTGCCTTCACCTTATATCTGTATATTTATTATCTTAAAACTTTGGGTCAGACACATGGGCATGTTCATTTAATGAGTGTCTTCTAATAACTTAATATAAGAATTACTAGCCAGAAATTCACCTAGCCTATCTCATCCCACTTCAAGACTGAGAACACCAAGATGAGAGAAGAAAAATTTTTTGAGGCAGGGTTTTGCTATGTAATTCCACCTGGCTTTGAACTCACTATGCAACCCAGGCTGGCCTCAAACTCACAGTGATCCTGCTGCCTCAGCTTCCCAAAGGCTAGGATTATAGGTGTGCGCCACCAAACCCAACTGAGAGGAATTAATGTTCAGGCTTTGCAGAGACATCCAATTGCCAACTGTATGGTTTCTGTCTAATGTCCCCCCAAAGCATCACCCAGTCATGAGGGCAGGCTTCTAGAGTTTGTAATTAATTCTTGGTCCAATACTAGGATTACAGCTGTGAGTGCTACACCCGCCCTGGCGCAGGTAGCCTGCATACAATATAAGGAAGGGAGGGGCTGGGGATTTAGCTCAGCGGCAAAGCGCCTGCCTGGCAAGGTCGTGAGTTCGGTTCCCGGTACCAGAGAAAAACCAAAAAAAAAAAAAAAAAAAAAAAAAAAAAAAAAAAGGAAGGGAAAGAAGCTTGCTCTCTTTGTCCTCCCTTTTTGCTCTTGTTGCTTTTGCTGTCTTCCTCCGCCATGAACTGTTTCCTCTCTGACATGCCACCCTGCCTTGGAACCAGCTGATTATGGACTGAAACCTCCACAAACTGTGAGCTAAATAAACCTTTCCTTCCTTAATTTTGGGCACTGGGTATTTTACCTCAGCATTGACAGAAAAGTAACCAAGACACCAGCTTTTACAAAATCCAGTTCTGATCCCTTACAGTGATGTCTAGAAGTCTCATCATTGTCCTAAACCTACAGCCCCCTCATATTCTGGGAAAAGCAAAGCCTCAGAGACCACCCCATGATGAGGTCACCCCCCAAGTGAAAGCAATTATCCCATGACTAAACTGAGACTGCCCACCTCACCTCCAACAAGCAGTAACTGTCATCTCATCATATGTGCTGACTTGCTCACTCAAGTGATGGTGGTGCTCCCAGAACCTTGAAGAAGAACGAATCCGGAGATAATGATGAACCAGTCCACTACTTGACCAGGATTACCTGTACTGCCAGTTATGCAACCCCTCTCAGCTATGTTGACTCCCAACCTGGTCTTTGCTTCCCTTTTCTATAAAACCCCAAGATTTTTTTCCCACCCTTCAAAGACAGATCTTGAGCCTCTTTATCAGCCCTTCTCAAACAGCCACACTGATTAAAGCTTCATTCCCATGCTTCACCACCACTTGTCTCCCTGATTGGCATTTTGGGACAAGTAGATGAACTTGATCTGTTGGGATGCCCAGAGCGGGTGCTTTTGCCCCAAAATTCTGGTAACATATATACACACTTTGTCTGTTTGTTTGTTTTGTGGGTTTTCTTCCCTCAACACTAGAAATTGAAACTAGGGAGTGCTGAGCTACATCCCCCACCCCTATTTATTTAACTGACTGATTTTGAGACAAGTTCCCACTAACTTGCTTAGGCTGACCATCAAACTTGGAATCCTCTTGCCTCCACCTGTTGAATAGCTGAGATTACAGGCATGTGCCACCAGACTGGGCTACACATGCATGTACTTGTATGCATGTATATACAGTATGTACAGACACTCCTCAGTTTAGGTGGGGGTACCTCTTGAGAATCCTATCATAAATTGAAAATAATCATAAACCAAAAATGTACTTAATGCTGTAACATAGGAACATCACAGCTTAATACCACCGTATGCTACAGAGTGTAAGTTGTTTACTCTCCTGATCCTGGCTGACTGAGAGCTATGGTTTTGCAAAAAAGAGTAATATATCCCTAGCTTGGGAAAAGATCAAAATTCAAAATACTGTTTACATTGAATGTATCATTATAAAGCCAAAAATGGTACACTGAAGCAGGTAAATTGGCGACTTTTCTAAGTCATGTCTGCACGTACACATCACTGTGATGCAGGTGAGGTTCAAAGTTTAAGATCAACAAGAAAAGCTGGACACGGTGTAGCATCTGTGTAGTCTCAGCACTTGGGAGACTGAGGCAGGAGGATCACTATGAGTTCGAGGCCAGACGGAGCTATATAATGAGTTCAAGGCCAGCCTGAACTACATAAGGAGACCTTGTTTCAAAAACAAACAAAAGCAACAAAGGGCAGGTAGAGAAATGTCTCTCTCACATCCCATTCCCCTCTTTCCAGGACAGAACTCCCAGGAAGTTGAGTGTGTATTCAGGCAGGCAGACAACACTGCAGATCCTCTAAATCAAGTGGGCATTTATGTTCACTGCATTGCAGTCCAGACTAGAGGCCATGGGCTTCTCTGAACACTTTGGTAAGGCACAGCACTCCCTGTTGACCACACACAGAGCTGTCAGATGATCTTCTGTGAGCCTTCAGGTAGCCTCCAAGGGTGGGGAATCTTGTGCCTCTGACAAAACATGTATTACCAGTCCCAGGACCTCCTGTAGTTCTGCCCACAGGGGCTGACAAAGTACTGGGCTGCTGCAGGTATGTCCCACATTTGCCAATGTATAAGCCTGGGCAGTATACTCCTGGACCTAGCTGTCCAATCTCAGACCCATCCCACGCTCAGGTAGGGAATCTTGATGACCAGAAGAGCTGTCTTAGTAGTGCTTTTGGTGGCTATCAGAGCCACATGAGCCACAGCCAGTTGTTTCTCTATCAGTAAATATCATTCCCTTTCCACAGTTGCAAACAGAAACCAACCATTCTGAGCTCTGCCATAATGCCCACCCCAAACCACTCGTGGACACACACACCTTATATTGCAGCTCACATGGCCAGCCCAGCATGGAACCCTCCAGGTGCACCTAGTATAAAGTTGGTGCTCTCATACACTGCTGACAGGAGCATGAAATGATGTAGCCACATACACTCCAATCCCATGGCTTTTGGGGGGGGGCGGGCAATACTAGGTATCAAACCTAGGGCCTTGCACATGTCAAGCAAGCTCTCTGCTACTACTGAGCTACATACTCAGCCACACATGCAGCCACTTTGGAAACAGTATGGCATTTCCTCAAAAGGTTAAACAACAAACCTACTTGCAGGTACATATATACCCAAGAAAATGAAAACATACCATCACATAGACACTGATAATTGTAAGCTCACAGTAGTAGTACTTATAAGAGCCAAAACATGGAAAAAACCTAAATGTCCACACTCTTAGTACTACCGTCTATTATAGCCGGCTCATAGGTGTGAAATGGTTTTGATTTGCAACTATTGTCGCTGAGCATCTTTTCATATGCTTCTCAGACCTTTATATCTCTGTTTAATCCATTGCCTTTTTTTAGTTAGGTTTTTTATTACTAACTTGTCAAAGTTCTTACATATTCTAGACACAAGACCTTTACCAGATATGACACATGCAAACATTTTCTCTCTGTATCTTTCACAATCTTGATGGTGTCCTTTGAAACACAATAAAAGTTTTTAATTTTGGTGAAATTTAGTTTATTTTTTAATTTTTTTTGTTTTTCTCCGGTACCGGGAACCGAACTCAAGACCTTGCGCTTGCCAGGCAGGCACTTTGCCACTGAGCTAAATCCCCAGCCCGGTGAAATTTAGTTTATATCTATCTCCTTTTTGTCACTTGTAATTTCCTTATACAGGACAGTAGCTATCAGACCTCAGTATCGTGTGGGGTTGTTAGAAAAAAACTCTTTAATATTGAGCCATTTCATTTTGGGTCTGTCACAAGTTTAACATATACTAAAATAGAGGTTCTTTTAGTGGGAGTTTGATGGTGATCTGTTTCTGTTTATATGAAAATTGTTCAATTTACTTCAGTCTTCAAATAGTTTGCTGAGTGTTCAATTATGGTTTTAATCGAATTCTTTTCTCGGAATTATGAGTTTTGTTTTCAGTTACAGGTTTTTTTTTTCTTTTCACTCTAACATTTGCAAGATCCGGTCAAGGATACAGATGGAGGATGACAATACCTGTGTATTTAAAAGTCATAACTCAAAATAGTGTAAATAAATCGGCTTTTTTTTTTTTTTTTTTTTTTTGGTCTTTTTGAGACAGGGTCTCGCTATGCAGTTCAGGCTGGCCTTGAGCTCACTCTGTAGCCCAGGCTGGCCTCGAACTCGCAACCATCCTCCTGTGTGCTGGGATTACAGGCGTGTGCCACCACGCCCGGCTACATTAATTTTTATATTTAGTTAAATGTTACCTAAATCCTTACAGAAACACTGTTCCTAATCTGACGCTGTGTAGCTCCATGTAAAGAATCAGTCGCGCGCTCCATGCATGCTGTATATGTGCACGGCAGAGCCGTATGAATCCTTTGACTCAGCCGCGACTCGCCTTTACCTGGTGCAACCGCGGAGCCGCTAGGCAACGCCACAGGACAGCGGGCTACTGAGGGCGGAAGACCATAAAGAAGCCTGCTGCTTGGGGAATGAGAGAACCTCTCACAGCCTCGCTCCAAAAGGCCAGATCCGCTGTTCTGTCCGACTCCAGCGCCCACACCCGCCCCGCGTGCTCGATGTACTCGGCTGTGCAGTCTGAACGGGCAACTAGCCCACCGCACCCAAGCGCCTAAAGCCGTCCCTCTCCGGACTGTGAGCCCGCCAGTCAGGCCACGCCACGCCCCCGCCACGCCCCATCCGCTTCCGGACGGGTCTCGCGATACCGACCTGTGCGGCGCGGCTCTAAGAGTAAAGCTAGTCTTCTCTGGGGCCATGGCAGCCCTACGCGCCCTGCTGCCCAGCGTCCGAGGCCCGCTACGGTCTCTGTCCCATTTCCCCGCCCTGCGGCCGTTCGCGTCGGGTGAGTGTGGGCCCGTGCAGAGGTCCATCACCACCCCACCTGCCCTGTCTGATCCTCACCCCAGCGCCTGACCCCAGATCCCGGTCCTGCACCCCCCCACTTGATCCTAGAGACCCTCACCCCCTGACCGCGGACCCTCTAACCTCAATCCCATACACCCCTGCTGCTTCCAGCCTTAGCCCACCCCACCCTTAATACCTTACCCCAGCCCCCTCCTGTCCTGGCGCTTGCCGAAGCCTCTGCCCAAGACAGCACCCTGGTCGATCGCTGGCTGCTTCTCAAATCTGGTACCTGACAGTGCCAGGACCTCGGACCTGCGGGGCACTTGGATGTTGGTTGTGAAATTCCACCAGTGTCTAGGTAGCTTTAAGAAAGCATGCAGTTCCTGCATTGCAAGTCAGCCTGGGAACTGGAAATTCAGACACCAGTTACCTGTAGTGCCTCCTATCCAGTTTTACCTTCTGTCCACTGCTTCTCCCTAAGCCTGACCTTCAGACCATCCAGTCAGAAATTCCCGTGCTTAATGCCCGCCTCGCTTCCACTGCCAGTGGGGTTGTCCTCTCTTCTCTTGGCTCACCTTCCACTGGGCTCCCTGTGGTATCATCCACTGGAGCATTTCAAGGAATTCTTGGCCATATCCCAAGCCTGGGGTCCTCTTGCACCCTATATATCTTAAGTACCTGTTAGTGTTGGATTCACCCTCTGTCTTGACTGTCCACTTTTGCACCCCACTTGGAATTGGCAGTCATTTCCTGGCTTCTGTAGGTGACAGGCATGCTGCTGTTCAACACTTCACATGGGATATTTCAGTTACTCACCTGTAAGTGCACGGAGCAGACACTGCAATGCCTGTACTGCAAAGGGAACTAATCACCCAACACACACTTTGTTGGGTTTTTTTGTTTTTTGTTGTTTTTGGTATTGGGCATCAAACTCAGGACCTTACACTTGCCAGGCAGGTGCTTGTACTGCTGAGCTACATCCCCGGTCGTATCACACATTCACTTTGTTATGTTCACCTTTCACTGGAGACTGCTCACCCCCAGGTCTGAGCTGATGGCCCCACTGGGTCATAGTGGTCACCTAGAACAAAGTGGTCCTTTCTGTTTGTCTCTCTCCCACCATGCTGTCCACACAGCATAGCCAAGAACTCTGTCCTACTCTTCAAAGGCATTTCTTGCAGGAAGGCCTTTCTCTGTCCTTAGTGCTGGCTTCTGAGAATAGCTGACCAAGGCAAATGGGACGGAGAGTAGCTGTGTTCCGGGCTGGGGGTTTCTCTAACGTAAGGAAGCATTCATGCAGATGTGAAAGCAGAGAGTGGTTGTGAAGGGAGTTGTAGGCAGAAGCCATGAGGACTGGGAAAGGCCCCTCCCTGGACCTCACAGGGTCTGTGTGTATGCTTTTGACACCTTCCTGATGGAGACCCCCTTTTGCCCTCTTCCTTCAGGTGCTAACTTTCAGTACATCATCACAGAAAAAAAGGGAAAGAACAGCAATGTAGGGCTGATCCAGTTGAACCGCCCAAAGGCACTCAATGCACTCTGCAGTGGCCTGATCACAGAACTCAACCAGGCACTGGAGGCCTTTGAAGCAGACCCGGCTGTGGGTGCTATCGTGCTTACCGGCGGGGATAAGGTATTTGCAGGTATGCTGGGCAGCAGTGGTGGCAGGTATGGGAGGGAATACATCACCTGTGGGATGCAGCAAAACAGACGGGCCCCTCCACGATGACATGGGACTTAGGATTTAATGAAATGTAAAGTGTTGAACATCCACATTACTGTGTCAGCAGAACGAACGTGTTCAGAGGGAGTCCAGTCCTTACTGGTCAGGCTGCGTGGCTGACATAAATAAGCTGGGCCTTCTCTGGCATCTGTTATCTGCCCCTGGGCCCTCTATCTTGTCGTAACAGGTATTGCAGTGTGATACTGGCGTTGTGGCAGGACTTGCCTATGATCCCATGGTCCCAAAGTTAGCTACCTGTGGATTTGGGCTTCTGGGATCTGTCTGGTAACAGGAATCTTATTTCCATTCCTAGCTGGAGCTGATATCAAGGAAATGCAGAACCAGACAATGCAGGACTGTTACTCCCTCAAGTTCCTGAGTCACTGGGACCAGCTGACCCAAGTCAAGAAGCCAGTCATTGCTGCTGTCAATGGTTATGCTGTAGGTGTCAACATCAGGGGTCTACATCTGCAGGGGTGGGACACAGGAAATGTTCAAGGGAATTGAACTTACAGGAATAAAGTGTACAGAGAGAGATCTTTATCTTGGAAAGATAGCAAGTTTGGTTCCCAGGCCAGTGGCCCCTTTTTTGCCAAGTAAGTAGAAAGTCTTTGGGCATCTGCTTTGTTTGGTGCTTCAGCTGCTAGTTCTCCCCAAATGGGTTAATGTATATTTCTATATCGATTTAATCCCCTGTGACTACTGTGCAAACATAGCACATCCTCTGCTGGGTAGTTTAGGGTCCTTGCGTAATTGGGCTATTTGGAAATGCCAGGACTGGTTTGGCCTGTGGAGAATTTACACAGTTGTTCCACGTGGTCTTTTTTTTTTAGGTACTGGGAATCAAACTCAGGACCTTGTGCTTGCCAGGCAGGCGCTGTGCCACTGAGCTATCTTCCCAGCCCCACATGGTCTTTTTTGTTTTTTTTGGTTTTGTGTTGTTTTTTGAACCTAGGGTCTTGGCTCTGAGCTACATCCCCAGCCCCTTTTGTTTTTTGAGACAGTGCCTCGCTAAGTTGCCCAGGCTACACTCAGACTCCCAAAGTGCCAGGGTCATAGGCATGCACCACCATGTCTGGGCTACGTGGTGATTATTTAATGAAGCCCCTTGCCTGTGAGCCAGAGGTCAGCCACACCCATTCGTGTCCACATCCCCTGTGGCTGTTGTTGAGCCATGTAGCAGAGCTGATATTCCTGCAGAGCCAAATTGTTTATTGTCTGGCCCCTTACAGAAAAGTCTGTTGTCCCTGGTGAACAGTACCAAACATATGTAAGTAATTTATGCCAATACTTAACTAAGTTTGTGCTGCTAGATTAATTTTTGCCATATCCTAACTCTGATTCATTTTACTACAATAGTTCACTAAGCAGATGGCAATTTTTTTGACTAGGCTTCTCTAGTAAAATTTGTTTGCCGCTCAACATTGTTTTACAGCTTGGTGGGGGCTGTGAACTTGCCATGATGTGTGACATCATCTATGCTGGTGAGAAAGCCCAGTTTGGACAGCCAGAAATCCTGCTGGGGACCATCCCAGGTGAGCATGTGGCACCTCTAGTGCACACTCTACAAGTAATTCTTAAGACCAGCCCATGCCTTAGGACCAATATTTTGTATTTGACCAGAAGTCTAGAAGTATCTCCTTGTGTCTGGCCAGTGTTCCCTCTGTAAATGGGCACATGGGATAGTGGACATGATAGAGCTCAGAGCAGGAACCTGGGGCCTCAGGCCATGTCAGACTCCTGTGATTACAGCTGGATCCTACGTCTGATGTCACACAGTGATAACATTAGTTTACAACTACAGCGGTTCTTTCCTGCTATTGACTTGTACTTGTGGTGAATCCCTGTAGATCAGCAGTTTAGGAGAAGGAATGGTGACCTTGGACTGGCTGCGAGACCTCTGCCTCACATCACTTTAGCCCCATCTACTCCTACTTCACTGGGTGTTAGGACCTCCTGGGAAGGAAGCCTGGGGTATTAGGGAAAGAACAATGCCATCAACTTGCTGGGTCTACCTAGTAAACCTGGAAGGATGGACTGGACACTCCAGGGAGAGGAGGCCATGCTTGGAGGTCCTCTGCTACTGTCTAGGTTTTTATTTGTTTGTCTGCTTATTTGTTTTACATTACTAGGTATTGAACCCAGGCCTTCGCACAGCCCCAGCACCACTTCCTTTTATATTTTGAGACAGCATCTCATTAAGTTGCTAACTTACAGTCCTCCTTCCCCACCCTCCCAGAGTGAGGGAGGCTAATGTGGGGGATCCAGCATGTGACATTAGGGAGACATGGAAGTTTCTGGAATGGTCACAAAAGAGCCTGAGGAAGGCCTATAGCCACTGTGTAGTTCTATGCTGAGAGGAGGAGCCTGAAAAGGGGCCTGCCCCTGAGGTTTCTAGTTTCTTCTGCTTGTCCTGCCTGGTGGTCACATCAGTTCTGCCTGCCTATCCCTAGACCCTTATCCTAGGCCTCCTCTTCAGCCTTTATGAGTTTGCCAGCAGCATAGCTGTGCTTTCTTCCCTTTTTCTTTTCTTTTCTTTTCTTTTCTTTTGTGTGTGTGTGTGTGTGTGTGTGTGTGTGTGTGTGTGTGTGTGTTGCTTGTATGGAACCCAGGGCTTTGGGCATGCTAATAAGGTACTCTGTCACTGAGCCACACCCAGACCCTGTGGTGTCTTCTCTTCTTCCTTCCTTTCTTTTCTGTCTGTCCTTCCTTCCCTCCCTGCCTCTCTCTCTCCCTCTCTTTTTCTCTTCCTCTCTTTCTCTCTCCCTTCTTCCCTCTCTCTGTCTCTGTTCCTGTTTCTGTCTTCATCTGTCTGTCTGTCTGTCTGTCTCTATCTGTCTGTCTGTTTCTCTCCCTGACTATCTTTCTCTCTTCTGGGAATTGAACCACCCAGGGCTTGGTACATGCTAGGCAAGCTGTTCTACCACTGAGCCACATCCCCAGCCCTCTGGTTTCTTCTTGGCCTCACTTGCCACAGAACCAGCTGACAAGCAGCCCCCTCCTTACAGGTTCAGGGGGCACCCAGAGACTCACCCGAGCAGTTGGAAAGTCACTGGCAATGGAGATGGTCCTTACTGGCGACCGCATCTCAGCCCAGGAAGCCAAGCAAGCAGGTAGGGCCAATCTGCCCTTGGTCGCTGGTTGGAGACTCAAGCTGCATCAGGTATTTTGGGGGTAATCAGCACCAGAGCTTTTTGGGTCTTAGGGATCCAGCAAGCTGTCTGCCTTTGGTGTTAAATTTTGAAAAATTTCACATACAAGAGAGTGACAACATTGCTCAGGTGAAAGAGTTCTAGTGCAATATGCCATCTCCCATAGTCCAGCATAGGCAATGGGCATCTCCAGAGCCCTTGCAACCTAACCCTTTCCCTGCCCTGTTGGTGACCATGGTCTTTATCGTCCTGCCTATGCTATTTGATGTCATGGGTAACCTGGCCTGGGTGGCTGAGAGCATAGTGACTGGTTGCTGAGGGCCCAGGGTCACATACCCACCTTCACCCACAAGGGCGTCTTGTTCAGCACTCAGAGCTCTCAGCTCCTGGGGTTCACTAAGTCTCCATGATAAATGCAACTGGTGCTCTGTTTCTCCATGTTTTTCACCACCTTTTTTACATTTTAGGTCTCGTAAGCAAGGTTTTTCCTGTTGAGAAATTGGTTGAAGAAGCCATTCAGTGTGCAGAAAAAATTGCCAGCAATTCCAAAATTATAACAGCCATGGCCAAAGAATCTGTGAATGCAGGTAGGAGTCTGCCAGGAAAAGAAAGTGAGGAGGATTCCCAGGATTGCAGACAGAATTGAAGGCACCAAGTGACTGTACCTTAGCCTGGCCAAGGCAGAAATGGTAGGATTCTCAGGATTGTGATTTACTGGTAGAGTTCTGGTTTCTAGCTGTTCACAATTTGGTTGAGATGTTCTGAGTTTCACTTTGTACCAGGGGCCAAGAAGTGAGCTACAGGGACACTGCCTAGAAGGTAATAGTGACATAGAACCAGGCAAGGCCAGAAGAGGCCAAGAAGGAAGTCTGAGGTGTCAGGCTTGTCAGTTGCTCCTGGAACCTCAGTTGAAGGATTCCTCTCCTCAACCCAAGCTATGGGTATGCAAATGCTCTACAGCCTGGGGACTAAGGCCACACAGGCTGGCTGAGAGCATCTGTGTGAGTGTGGGAGCATGCTCTATGTGTTCAGTGCACTCAATGCACTCTGCATCATTATAACTTTCTATTAGAAAACTGAAAGTGAAATTGGTCTGACCTACCTCTTCAGAACACTTGAATATTAATGTAGCAGTTTACCTCAGCATTTGAAATGAGATTGTCTTTCTGTTCAGTGCTGGGGCCGAAGGATGCAACCTAGGAAGTCACACAGCTTCTTGGAGCCTGTTAGTCCCTCCAAGGAGGGTGCTGGCCCTCTGGGGTTACTGTTGGTGCTGGTCAGAAGCACCAGTGTTAAAGGAGCCGGCTGTGTGTTAACACCACAGGGTAGCTGCCAAGGGTTTTAGCAAGGTCACAGTAGATTGCACTCTGATGCTCATATCCACCCTGAGAGGCACCTCCCTCCACATAGCAGGACAGCACATGCATGTGTCCTGCACTGAAAAGAAAGATATTTCCTGGTGCCTGGTCATTCTTTCTCTGCTTTTCATCCGTATTTAGTTGTCTGTGCCTTTGATTTCATTGGCCACCTCAGATCCTTATAATTGGACAAATTTTGATGTTCGTCTTTCATCCATTTCCTCAGTCCTTTCTCCGGGACCTGGGCCACAGTTGGGAACTCAGGAGCCCTGGGAGAGCAGTTTGCTCAAGTGGCTACCTCAGCTGGGCATACACCTGAAAAAAGAGGCTGACTGGGTCAGTGTGAAGGCCTAAGTAGGGCTGGCCTCCCAGCACATCTGAGTGAGATTGTGTGGGTGGGCAAAGAGTGTCCCATCACTGCTCAGGAGCCAGTCTTGTTCCCCAAGTCAGCATCTTAGTCCATGACTGTGGGGTTTTTTTTCAGCCTTTGAAATGACATTAACAGAAGGAAATAAATTGGAGAAGAAACTCTTCTATTCAACCTTTGCCACTGTGAGTAAACAATATTCTGCTGAGATTCAACCATGTTCTAGTCGAGGAGTTACTGGGAATTTTCTTTACATTTTATCATTAAAAGCCATTTCTTTTTGGTCCAAACTTTTAGCTTTCCCTCTAGCCAGATCAGACTTGTTGTATCAGTGGGCGTTGGTTTTAGCAAAAAAGTACATGTGGAAATTAATAGAATAAAAACTTTACAGAATTAGCTTCTTATTGAAGAAGGTCCTGTGAGTTGCACCCTTAAGCAGCAGCTCCTAAATGGATGCACTTGAGACCCTAATGTTAAGTGAAAGGAATCAGACACACAATCTTGAATATCATATGGTTTCTCTTATATGAGAAACCCAAAGTATGAATAAGTAGATAAATAACAAAATAACGGATACATAATAGAAACAGGAATATAAAACTTTTGTAAATGGGAAAAGGACCAAGAGCTACAGAGAGAAGAGGGGGAGGGGGAAGGATGTAAAGAATTAAGATGTATTATGTGCATTTACCTACTCCCCATGATGAATGTAATCATGTACTGTAAAGATGTAATAATTTTTTTAAAAAAACTTTCATTTAAAATGCAATTCAGAACCAAGTACAGTGACATGTATCTGTAGTCCCAGGACTTGGGAGGCTGAGACAGGAGGACATCTTGAGTCCAGGAATTCAAGACCAGCCTGGACAACAGTGAGATCCTATCTCAAAAAAGAGAGAAAAGAGAGAGAGAGAAACTGTCATTTATTTCACCCATATTTTCCCTAAATTATTCCACTTATTTAGAATGTGGCTCAAAAGTATTATAATAGTAAACTAACACTTTATAGCAATATGTTTTAGGATTTCTGCCAATAACACATTCACGATGTGTCTTGCTGCTGGGTGGCTTGAACCACTGGTGGTACATGTGTGACTGTCCCATGCATGACTGTACCACTTCTGCCGCTAGTGTACAAGCTGCTTGATGGAACAGTCACACATGTGCCACTAGTGGCTCAACGTGGGAGGAACATGTTAAAGGAAATGGTTTCCTAAGTGCTATTATTAGTCACTTCTTTCATTGGGAAAGAATCATGTGTAGGCGTTTTATAAAAGAAAGATTAAAATGCTTTTGACTTTTTAAGAAGTAGAGATTTGTGCACTTGGGTACACACATATATATATGTGGACACAAAGGAAGAGGGCAGACTCTGGAAGAGTTCTGGTCCTTTGTCATTCTTTGAGGGTGATGCCTGACTTGGCCCACGCTAGATCCTGTTGAAGAGGTTTGCCCAGAAGTGTGCCCTTGAGGCTCTCTTTACATGGGAGTTCTCTGACATTCATGTAGTGGTTTCTGAGTGGCTCTCATCTGTGAAGAGGGTATGAAACTTCCACTCCCAGGTCCAAGATTCCTGTTGGTCAGGAATCCTGTCCTCCAAGGCTGTACATGGCTCTACTATGGAATCACCTGCCGTATTCCATGTGAGCAAGGAGAACAGCCTGAGAGAATGAGAAGAGCAAAGACGCAGGCAAGTGGGGAGCTCAGTGGGAAGATGTAAATGTCACCTTTACTTTTCTCCCTTTTCCTGCCAGGATGACCGGAGAGAAGGGATGGCTGCGTTTGTGGAGAAAAGGAAGGCCAACTTCAAAGACCACTGAGAACCAGCTACCTGGGCCTTACACCTCTAGTGAGAGGAACAAGTAGCTTGTCAGTTTAGAAGCAAATAAATCGTCTCCTTTTAAAGGGTAGTGTAGGTGAGATGTGGTTTCTTGCTGATGGCCATGGGGCTGTGGCCAGAGCTTGAGCTGTGCTGAACAACCGGCCTTCACTTGGCCATCAGGAGAGTCAATCATGTTACATTCTGACCTGAATGTATTCTTTTAAATCAAAAGTTCTGCTGAGGAACCTTCAGGGTGTTTGATTTTTTACTTCACTTCAGGAACTGAGATGCTAGTTTGCCGGTGGCCCTTTTGTGCACAGATCGAGTCCAGATGGAAAGTGGGTGCCTGGTCATGGAGTTTGTGGCTGCTCAAGGAAAGATGTTCCTGTCTATTGACTTTGAACAGAATAATGTTGATTAAAGGAACTACTTCAAGTTAGTTATACTTTACTTTTTGTTTGTTTGGTTTTGTCTTTTTTGAGACCGGGTCTCGCTATGTAGTTCAGGCTAGCCTTGAGCTCACTTTGTAGCCCAAGCTAGTTTTGAACTTGCAACCACCCTCCTGTCTTAGCCTCCCAAGTGCTGGGATTATAGGGTGTGCCTGCACTCCCAGCTATACTTTACTTTCAAGGCATAAATATCCTATATATTGGTCAGTTTTTTAAAAGTTTTTCTTCATTGTGATAACATTCAAATAAAGCTGAGGTCCATAAAGTAAGCTTTACCCATGTCACGTCCCCAGGATAATTAACACTGTGAATAGTTGGGCGTGCGTCCAAATACTCATACATGCTTAGGTGTGATGCTGTGTTTTATACATGGGTGCTATGCACACTCATGCACAGTTCTCCACCCTCATTTTTTTCTCCTTCTGTCATGTGAGTGCTTTATTTTTTTTCTTCTGGTTTGTTGGCTGTGTAGTCCAGGGTGACTTTGAACTTACTATGTAGCCCAGGCTGTCCTCAAACTTGAGGTGATCTGTAGGGGACCTTGTTGTCTCTCATTGTACCCCATGGAGGAACAGAGATAAGAGCTGGGTCAGGTGAAGTGGACCTCTTACCTGATGGGCAAGACCTCTTACCTGATGGGCAAGAGGACCTAACATCAACAGTAGGGGTGTTTATTTATACTTTTGCAAAGTTAGTATCAGGAAAGGCAATGCTGCCTAGTGACTGACTGAAATTGTCCAGGCGGGATGTTTTTCTCAAGACTGAGGTAGCTTGACTGCTGAAAGCACTCTGGTTCTGTCCTGCCCTCACACATATGGCCAATTTCCAGCTTCAGCTCCTCCCAACAGTGATCCTCCCGACTCAGCCTCCCAAGCTGGGATTACAGGCCTGTGCTGCCACACCTCATGCTTCTTATTTTAGTAGTTTCTCAGTTGTGACTACACAACATCACATAGACTCTACCATCTTCACTATCTAATGTCTAATCACATAGTTCAGTGCATTGAGCACATTCAGTGTGTACCGCCATCACCGCCCCGCATCTTTCTAAGCTGAAATTGTCCCTATCAGACACTGACTCCCAGTCCCTGGAACCCACCGTTCTGCATTTCTACTGATGTGACTGTTCTGGATACCTCGTATGAGTGGAGTCACAACATCATTTACTTTCCTTTTTGTGTCTGGGATATTTCACTTAGCACAATACGACGAAGTAAATGCTTGTGCCCCTCCATCTCTGTGTTGAAATCCTAACCCCCAGGTGATGGTGTTACGAGTTGGGACCTCAAGAACAGGGTTCATGCCCTTGGGCCCCAGAGAGGTCTTTCATCCCCTTTCTCCACATACAGCTTCAGTAAGGTGTCATGTGTGAACTAAGAAGTGGGTCCTCACCAGACCATGAATCCGCCTTGATTTGGTCTTGCAGACTAAAAAAGCCAGAGGAATAAATGTTTATAAGCTACCCAGTCCATAGTATAGCCACAGAACAAGCTGTGACACACAATATCTTCTGGGTTCATCCATGTCATAACATATGTGTCAGAATTTCACTTCTTTTGACTGCTGAATAATCCTCCTACTGCATTCCTTTTAATAGCTCTGACATGCTGTGGATGTGTCATATCTCCTTATTCCTATGGTGATGAGCACTTACTTATTTGACACAAGGTCTTATTGTTTTGCCCAGGCTGGTCTCAAACTCGTAGAATCAAATGACCCTCCTGCCTCTGGCTCTTGAGTAGCCGGAACTGCAAGTGTGCACCACCATGCCTGGAGAGGTGATGGATGTTCACAGAATCTGGTTTTCCAGAACCACCATGGATAGCCCAGCAGTGACCCTTATGCACTAGCCCTAGCATTTCAGTTTAATATGTCTGTAGCCTCCAGAAAAACTGTCTACAGGCTCACCTGAGTACCTGACTGCTCACTCACTCCAGTAGCAGGGTGGCAGGGCCCTTCTCCAAGGTGAGACAAGAGAGGTCTCTAAGGTCAGTGTGGGGGCTGCTTGCATCTGAAAGCTGGAGTATTTATTTAAAATACATATTCTCAGGTGTGACATATGCCTCTAATCCTAGCACACTAGGAGTCTGAGGCAGGAGGATCACAAGCTTGAGCCCAACCTATGCAACTTAGCCTGACTGTGTCTCAATTTTTTATTTTTTAAAGGTGAAGGGGTGCTGGCAATGTAGCTCAGTGGAAAGGTCTGGGTCCAATCCTCTACTGGCAAAAGGCACAATCTTAGAGCTAAACCAGAATCTAACAGAGGTGTAGAATCCTTATTCCTCACTGTATCTAGTGGTACCTGAAAAACAGAAAAACTCTAAGTAGGAAGTGCCACATCGGAAACAAACACAGTAATTGTCATGCTCAATGCCATTTACTGTGTGAGGTTTAGAGACAGAATACAGAAGTGTACCAGAGCCACCCTAAGGGATACTTTGGGTACTTTGTTCCCTCCTTGGGTACTTGGTGGCTTCAGATTCCAGGAGCACCACCCATGTCCTTTGATTGCTATGCAGCGTAAGGCACTTAGCAGGGCTCTGGGAGACTGTTCCCCTGTGACTCCAGTTATAAAAAACTATCTCCACTTTATTCCCAGAACACCAAGTCTCCATTTGAAACTCCATTCTTCAGCAAGTACTGCTGAGGAAGTTGACACAAATTTGAAGCCTATGTCCTGGGGCAAGGGGGTCTCACAAGTAAAGGGGAGATGCTCCCTGCCTCAGGTGAGAGGCTCCCAAGCCTGAGGATGGCCTTAGACTCACTAAGGTGAGGCTGAGAGGTCTGAATTTCAACAGGTGGATACCAATGCTGTGCAGATTTTGTGGGCTGGGGCTGCTGCAAGCCCCCCAACCTATACCCTGTCAGGGGATTTGGCTATGTCAGCTCCAAACTAGAGCACGGCTCTGCATGAGGGAAGAGGTTGGGGTCTGCCTGGGAATCCAGGGTAAGAGGTGCTCACACTATAACTGAGCACTCAGGCTCCATCACACAGCCAATACACAGCCCAGAAAATGGACCACAGTGTAGTCACCACATGGCGACTACACTGGTCACTCAGCCAAATAAAACGATGCTTGTCTTGTTCCAGGATCTGAGCCTCAGGGCCCTCCTGTAGTGAAGCCCACTCACCCCAGCACAGACCACACCAGAGTGCCGTTTACAGGTGTCTCTTCCACCTGGCTCTACAGCCTGGGGCAAGCAGTTAATCCAGATTGTGGTCATGGCCTTGGGCCGGCATGGACAAGGAGTGTGTGAGTCCTTGTCCTGGAGGACCTGAGATGGACAAGAAAAGGACCAAGATGGGCCAAGGATGACTAACAACTGAGCTGACCTTTGCAGGTTATGGCTCTGCACCCCTCAAACAGCAGCTCATCCTCATTTACACAGCAAGAAGTGTAAGTGCTCACAAGCACTGTGGGGACCACTTGCCTTGCAGGTGTCAGCCTGCAGTTGACCATGCCCACCTGTCCCCTGGGGCCCTGCTGGTGGCAGGAGGGAGGAGGAAGTGATGGGTTCTGTTAACTCACCTGTGAGAACGCCAATACTGAGTGCTTATGCAGTCCCCCTTCACACAGAAGGCAGATGACCTTGGCAGAGAAGCCTCTGGATTTTGGGCTGTTTGGCACACACTTATTTACAGAAGCAAGTACAAAGAGAATTTGATTTGGGCTCAACACGGTGGAATGGCTTTTCCCCAGCCAGGGAGCAGGGAAGGCTAGGCTTTCTTGGGAGCGCAGATGTGAATATGCTCATTGCTAAAGCTGAACACGTGGAGGTTCGTGCTGAGTGAGACAATCGACCTCAGTCTGAAATAAACAAGGAAAGGCACCAAAGTTCTCGGTATCTAAGAAAGGAAACCTTAAAACTGAGAAAAATCTATTCATCTAATTTTTTTCATGCACTGACCATCTTCCTCCATAATTTGATTTGAGCAATGGTCCCGCCCTTCCGTTTGTCCCGCCCCTGCCTCCCCAGGCCCCGTTTCCAGAGGCCCCGCCCAGGCCGCAGACATGGTGGTGCTGAAGGGCGTCCCGGCACTGCTGTCTCCGGAGCTGCTGTATGCGTTGGCGCGCATGGGGCACGGAGACGAAATAGGTGAGCGCTAGGGGTGCAAGCTAGAAGACACCGGGCGTTGTTCTCAGAAAGCGGTTAGGGCACTGCTGCAGCCGCCCCACCCTTTTGAACAGGAAGCCCCAACCCTGCTTCCGTAGGGAGCTGGGGACTGTGGGCTCTTCCCGAGGCGAAGTTCTTGGATCCGCCCAGGCGGTCACGAGGTGGCAGCTGCCCTTGGCCTGGATGCAAATGTACCGGGGCAGATCTAACCCCTCCGCAGGGTGTCCTGGGCTAACCGAGCGGGATTCCTTTTCTAGCCTAGGTCCTACCCTTTCCCCATACCTCCTTCGAGGGCCCCGTAGGGTCAGCGGCTGGGGTAGGGGCTGGGCAGTTGGAAGCTGGGGCGCTGTTACTGCCCCCTCCTTTTGGGCAGGGGTGTCACCCTCCCCATCTGCTTTTCCCACTGAGCCGACCCTCTAGAAAGCCACGGAGGTGACCCACGGCCTGGAACCACTGACCATGGAGGGAGGGTAGACTGGTTGATCCCTGGGTGGGGACTGGTGGTGGCCACCAGGGCAACACCAGGGCCTTCTGACTGCCTCTTCAGTTCTTGCAGATGCTAACTTCCCCTCCTCCTCTATCTGTCGGTGTGGGCCTGTGGAGATCCGTGCAGATGGTAAGGAGGGAGGACAGTGGGGGGTGTTGGTCAGGGGTGGGTTGGGCAGATGATTCTGGGCCCCAAATCATTGCCACTGATGCCAAAGAGTGAAAGTTTTGGAACAGAGGGCATGCCAGAGGGGAAGGCAGGAGTCTGAGCCCCGCTGTATCCCTCCAGGCCTGGGCATCCCGAAACTCCTGGAAGCTGTGTTGAAGCTGCTGCCCCTGGACACCTATGTGGAGAGCCCGGTGAGGGCCAGAAGGCTGCTCTGCCTCTCTGTCTCAGTTTCCCTTTTGCCAGACTTCACCAGGCCATCTGCCTTAGAGTGGGGAGGCCATATGCCCCCAAAGGGGCCCTGACCCCACTGGAGGACCCTTGAACGGTCACTAGGCAGGGGAGGGGGTGCTGGAGGTGCTCAGGGCTGCAGAACTCACTCTTCTGTTTCAGGCTGCTGTCATGGAGCTGGTGCCTGATGACAAGGAGAGGGGCCTGCAGACCCCAGTGTGGAAAGATTATGAGATCCTCCTGCTCCAGGTTGGCTGCAGGGTGAGCCTGAAGCCCTGACTATGGGAGGGGCCAAGGACCCTATCTTCTGGAGGCTCAGGAAGAGTGAAATGTGAGGGATGTCCCAGCTGTTCTCAGATGACCTTCACCGCTAGCTGTGTGAGCACTCAGTACCACCAGCTGCCCCATTAGCAGAGACAGAAGAGGTACACCTAAGCCATATGGCTGCTTCTCCTGAACCCCTAAACTCCCCACTTCCCTTCTAGGATCTTGACCTGTCTGCCTGGGGGTCTGTCCCCATGGAACCAAATGGATAAGGGCTGCCTCGCCACCCCTTCTGACCTCCCATGGGTGTGCGCCTGAGTCCCAGGTCTTCCTCTTCACCACCCTATCCTGGCTGTGGGAGTCACACAGCACTCACCCCTGTTTGGTAGGAGACATGCTAATTCTCCTGGGGAACTCATTCACTGTTCACTCATTCTCAGGTCTTGGGCAGGACCTACCTGAAGGGAACAGACCAGGAACTCCCATCCTGGCCACAGGATCCCTTGGGCCAGTTTGCAGGAAATGCAGTATTTGCCAAGCTGGCTGAGCAGCCCCAGGCCAGGAGATACCAAGCATAGCATCTGGTCCAGCACAGGCCCCAGATGGCATTTGAGAGACACCCCATGTCCGCACTGCCCAATCCTTGGCGTTACAGGCTGAGGGCCCTTGAGACCCCTGCACTAGGAGAACCAGAGGAGTAGAGCTCAGAGAGCCTAGTCCCTCGCCTCCTGCTCAGGGCCTTGGGGCCTCAGGGCCTACCCATGAGGCTTTCTGGGCAGAGTTCTTTCAACCATGCCATTTTGTTTTCTAGAGCGCGCTGGCAAAGATAGAAAGATTTGAGTTTTATGAACGAGCCAAGAAGGCTTTTGCTGTTGTTGCAACTGGGTGAGTGCCAGTGGGTCTGCTGGCTCAGGCCTGCCCCCATTTCAAGCCTCTGAGAAGGCCCATTTCCCACTCCCTGCTGAGCTTCTGTCTAGTTGAGACTCAATGAGCAGGAGGAATTTGGGCAGGCAGCGTCCCTGTTTGCATTGCCCAAGGCAGCTGTTCTCTAGATCTTTTTCTGGCAGGTGGGATGGAAGCAGATGGGGTCTGCTGTGTCCCCAAGAGAACACCTTGGCCCTCTGCTCAGCTCTGCTCTGCTCCCTCTGCAGGGAGACAGCACTCTATGGAAACATCATCCTCAAGAAAGGGACAATTGCCCTTGGCTCCCAGTTCGAGGCCTGGTGAAGACTACTCTGAGGGCAGAAGAATTGACCGTGCCACTGGCCTACCTACAGCCACACCCAGACCTGGGCCTCAGCCAGGGTCTGTGGGAGCCAGTGAGTTTTGAGGGACGCTGCCAACTGAGACGGGGATTACCCTGATTTTCTAAATGATGGAAAAACACAGTTACTATCAATCTTCAATCTAAAAGACTGTTCTCCCTCCCAGGTTTGTTTGGAACTGGGCTTAGGAAAGCTACTGGCTCCTCAGAGAGTAGCCACAACCCACCTGATGAATGAATGCTCAGGTGGGAAATCCTTGTGGGAAATGAGGCCTGCGGCCGGGCAGAGTGCATGGCAGGGAAACCAGAGGTGGGTGCAGTGGCTGCCTGGCAGCTCAAGGAGAATGCGGACTTTCGCACAACTGCTCAGGATTCAGATACAAGGTGGCGCCTGATCAGGGCCACTCCCTCTGCCTCAAGCAGGACAGGAGTGAGAGCTGGCCTAACACTTTGGAAGGAAAAAAAATGCAGGTGTAGGGTGGAGGAGGGTGCATCCAGTACCAGTGAGGATGGTGTCAGCAACCTTGGTACAGGCCTAGAGAGACCTGGGTGTGGGCTGGGCCTGTGTTCAGTAAATGGAGCACCCACTCCATAGGCCTGGTGAAGACTACTCTGAGGGCAGAAGCAGCAGCTAGCCGCTTTGTACCTGGGGATGAAACCAGATAGCACCTGCCTGCTTCCTGCTTAAAGCCGGGGTTGTCTTGGGAGGTAAAGGACACACAGTCATGTAGTACCCAGTACTGGGCAGAGGGGCAGCAAGATATAGTAGTGGCCTGAAGGGGGTTGGTGCCTAGAGGATTAGTGATGAGTTACCCTTGCAGTGCTTGGATTGAGTCACTGTCCAGACTGGAGGTCCTCCCCTTAGGCCATTGGTGGCAAATCTGTGGCACACAGGCCACAGCGGGCACACACAACTCTCTCTGTTGGCATGAAAGCCAAGTTACCCCAGCATCCAAGCATTGGATATAGTTGTTTTCTTCCTAACTAAAAGCTCTGAATTCAGATTTATTTAATTGCGGTGTTGAGACTGGTAAAAAGCGGATTTGAGATTGCAGTTTGGGCACCTGGTCTCTAAGAGGTTCAGCATCACTGCCCTAGGCCCTCTTCCTCCCTCCAGCTCTTCTTTCAGCCATGTGGATGAAGGAAGAAGATGGGGACGATAGACAGTGGGAGCTGGTTTCCCTGTCTGGACCAGGCCTGTACTCCAGGATCACAAGGAGTAGTGGGTCAGACAAGCCATCTGGGCAGGGATTTGGGGCCAGGTGTGAGGAAGGGGCCGTGCCTAAGCCTAGCCACAGACCCTGGTGACCATCCTGTCTGTTCCTCTGCCATGGTCCCTGTCCACCAGGCACGTCACAGAAGTACTGTTGCCTAGCAACAGCCAGAAAGCAAAGTGACTACCCAAGTGGCTGTGTACCAGCTGAGTGGGAGGCATGTGTGCAGAAGAGACTGCAGTGAGAATTTAAAGAGGGAGGGAATTTGAAGGCCACCCTTTGCAGTACCCTTCCCATGTCCATGAGGGGCATGAAGAAGCCAGGCCTGATTTTGATTGAGAGACTTCCCCCAACTGCCCTGGAGCTGTTGTTTTTGGGTCTTGGGTTGCAAGGCTGAGTTAGTCTGTGCATCCCTTTGTCTCAGTGGACTGCTCACCATAGTGGCAAACTCCTGAGTCCAAGGTTTCCTCTGCCTCTCCTGGGTACATCCAGATATGCTCTTCAGGAGCTGGGGGAAATACCCACAAGACTGGCTCAGGCAAGGTTAGAGAGAGGTGTGGCTACAAACTCCACCTTGGCCAGTGCCCACCTTTGGGCCTTGCAGATGCTCGACTCTTGGAGCCTCAGAAGTCCACAAGTTCCCCACCTGCCTGGAAACCAGGGAAGAGGGTCAACATGGGGCAGCCTAAATCTCCAGCCTGGGTCTGATTTTCTCGGGGACAGTGGGCAGTGGTTGCTGACCACCTGTGCATGAGTTGCTCTGGTAGTGGCCCCTGACCTGGCATAAGAGTGACTTGGGAGGGGAGTGCTTTGAGCTTCATGTACCCCAGGGATTCATGGCCTCCTGAGACCTGGATAGGATTCTGTAGCCTCTGCTGACCATCCTCTGCTCTTGATTCTGAGCTGCCCACCCCCTGCCCCAGTTCTTACCAGGATGACAAGTGAGGCACACTGAGGTGAAGCTGGACCTACTCTGCCCCTATCAGGGCAGGACCTTGAAGATCATTGTTTTGGCCTCAGTGAGCTCATCCATGATAGGATAGGGACTCACCAATGACGAGGCGACCTGGCTTCTGCTGTGCAGGGTTGGAGGCAGGAATGGAGGCATGCGCATAAGCCATTCATGTCCTTGGGAGAGTAGGGACATCCTTAGGGGACACAGCGAGTTCTAGGGGATATAAGGTCACCTGGGAAAACACACAACAGTTGCATGCCATCAAGAACATCAGGATCAAGAGTCAGCAGCTTCTTCCAGAAGCTGCCTTGGCTGTGGGAGCTGGTGAACTTGTGTAGCTCAGGCCCGAGGGTTTGGCCCTAGTTACTTCTCCCTCATTGCCGGTCATGGTTGCCAGGCACCCCACTATGTACACAGTATGTTAGATAACTCAGGTGGCCTTGCCTGTGCTTAAGCATTGAGCCTGCTAAGGGAGGCCATGCAGGAGGACAGGTACCACAGACAGAGCTGGATGACTACCCACAAAATTAGGACAAAATGTTTGTGTATTGGGCCTGTGTCTGACCCATTCACTTGAGTCTGTGTGCCTGTACCTGTCCATCTGAGCACATATAATATACCTACACACCTGTATACTTATGCGCCTACCAGAGCAGCTGTCCATTTGAACGCCAGTTGTCTTAGCCACCCTCCTCCCTAGTCCTTGCTTCCCAGGTTCTTTCTCTCCTTTCCCCAGGGAGCCCAGGGCAAGTTCCATTTCTCTGCTGAAGCTGATCCTGGTACTGCCTTTGGTGCCCACCTCTGACTGCTGCCACATCCTTTATTCCATCTCCATGTGGAGAGAGATGGCCCTGTAGGTGTTAACTGTGCAGGAGCTGAGGGTTATCTGGGCCTTGTGTGACCCTGAGGGGTTCCTTATGTGCCACGTGTAGGTAGTAGCTCCCTCCTCCTAGACAGCAGAGTTGGGCTCCAGGGTGGTTGGTCTTAAAAAACCAGGTGGCCTTCCACTTCTGTTTGCAGATGTTTATTTTTCTAGCTGGGAAGGGTTGTCAGTCCTGACAGCCTGGGCCATGGGATAGGAGTATGAGGGTGTTCAGGGCCCTAGGACTCCTCCACGGGGTGGTAGATGTGGTCTAGGTCCTCTTCCGGCCCCTGAAGCACTTGGCGAGAGAGCATTGCCCATGAAAAGGGCTCTTCTTTGACCTGGATTTCCTCGTCTGCAGGATGGTATAGACTGTCAAGGTCAGGCTCAGGACCCTGCTGGGGTCTCCGAAAACGGCTCAGGATGTCTTCAGTCTCCACCCAAGCTTTGTTGCCTGGGAAAGGCAGATGGATCCATAGCATTAGTTTCCCTTGCAAGATTCTCCCTTTCACCCAGTTCCACTGGCTCATCCTCCATCTCAACCCCACGGGCCAGACTCCTGCTGTGGCCTAGGTCCCACCCTGACCTGGCTTCTCAATGGCTGCAAGCTTTGGCTTTGGCACTTGGAGAAGATCCACCAGCTGGTCATCCTTGTCCAGAGGCTGCAAGGCGTGGTTGCTCCAGGTCCTGCCCACACAACTGGGTTAGGTTCAGGTACAGCTGGGGAGAGGTACCACCCCCCGCCCCAGCCGCCAGGCAGCTACTGGCCCTGTGAAGCCACTGTAGCCTGCTTCCTATTAACTGCCTCAGGAACTGTAGACAAGCACCTACCTAGGTATTCCTGCTGAATCCTTGAGCCACCAAGGGTGGGGGAAGGAAAGATCAGAACCTCTCAGAGTAAAGAAAGGCTGGGCATAGTGGTGCACCCCTGTAATCCCAGCACTCAGGAGGCTGAGGCACGAGGATCACTATGAGTTCAAGGTAAGCCAGGGCTACATAGTTCAAGACACTATGAACTACACAGTGAGACCCTGTCTCAAAAAACCACAAAGAAAAAACAAAAAAACACCAGAGAGAGGGAAGTCAGAAACCATCCTGGTCCAAGACTGAGTCTTTCTGGGCAGTGTAAGGGAGCTGGATAGGGAATGTGGTCCAGAATACCCAGGCCTCTGTTTTCTGGGCCTGGAGCTTGCTGCTGTGAGGTCCAAGCATTGCCTTCTCCTAGAAGCAGCAGGACAGGGTTCTTTATCTGCCCAGTGTACCCTAGGTCCAAGAAGGGCCCAGAAAGAATAGACCACACTTTGAGAGAGAGTGCAAGGGGGCATCCGAGGCACTTACTTCTCTGTGTCCTGCTCAGGGACTGAGTGCTTGCCTTTGGTCTTGTCAGGTACCTGGAAGAATGAGTCACAGGTATAGCCTTTGCCAGTCAGTGGCCCAAGGTCAAAGGACACCTGCTCCAAGGCCCAAGTGGGGCTATAGGCAGAGCCTGGCCTACAGGTATCTTCAGGAGATAATGGGGATTGCAGGCAAGGGGAGTAATGCCACTAATCTGCTCCCAAATGACCAGCCCACTTTGATTCCTGGCCAGTGCTGGGGAAGGCCATGTTGTCCAGACAGAAATTAGGACCTCACCTTCTGGCTCCAAGCCCCCACTACACCCCCAGCCCTCTGGGTTCTGTCTGGTTTCTGTAGGGATTAGTTGGAGCTATCCCTGCACTTCCCCTCCCTTCCCCAGCTGGTAATCTGGGGAGAGGGTCAGCCCTTGTGAGTCCAGCACCCTGTGAGGCAAAGTGGGCCCTCCAAGGAGTCACCAGCTTCAGGCACTGTGAAGTGGCTGGGAAGAGGTCTCCTTCTTCTTAATTGCTCCCAAGTGTGCAGGCTGAGTGGCCTTCACTCAGGGCAGACCCCATGTGTCATCCCAGCCCAGGTCACCAGTATCAGCACAGTGTATCAAAGCTCCCTGCCTACATGAGCGTCAGGAAGGCCCATCTCACATGGGCTCTTCCTAGGTGCCATCAATGCCCATGTGTCCTACCTGGAGTCACGTGGGTGTCATGGGGGCTTGCCGATCAGACCCCAATGGAAAGAGGTCTGCCCCTCCTCATCTTGAGGCCACACCTCAGTGACCAGCCACATGGCATCTCCAGTCATGCCAGTGCTCTACTTCTACTCTCCAAAGCCAGCTCGAGGTGGCTGGGGATGGGCTCTGAAGCCATTTCCCAACATTCCCTGCTGGTTGGAGCATAGGGTGACAGCCATGGGTGGGGGCCAGGCTGAGGGACCCACATACCTGGGGTGCTGGGATTGCACCAGCCTGCTGCAACAGCACAGCCACCAGACAGGTAACCAGGAAGAGCCTGGGGGACCAGGAAAGGAGTGTGAGGCTGGCAAGGGGCTGCCCCCACCCATGAGCACCCCTCTCGACTCTCCCCTGACAGGACCTGGATGAGCAGCTACCTAGTCCATAGGTAGTTTATAAAGCCTCATTTCACAGAGAAGGACTTGCGGGTACTGAGAGATGAGATACACCTGCTCCCATGCTGTCAGCCAGGGCCACTTCACCCACCATTACTGCACCTCAGTGACAATGCGGAAGACTCCAGAGGCCACAGAGGGACACACATGTGGACAGACATGGGCATTGGTGCCTATATCACATGAGAGTCGGCTCAGTAGTACAAGTACTCAGTACCCCGTGATGGCTGCAATCACACTGTTGAGGACAGATGGAGTCCCATGCATGGGCCTTCACCACAGCACCCTGAGGGTTCGCCCACAGTATTGAGCAACCCATCATGCAGGCAAGAAGATGGTACATAGTGTGGACATGGTATGTGATATGCATATTATGTGTGGTGTCTGTGCTGTGTCATGTCTGGCATGTGTGTATGGCATGTGTGAGAGGTGTATGGTGTGGTGTAGTGCATGGTGTGTACATGTGTGGTGTGGGGGAGTTGCAGTATCATAGAAACCTTCACTCCTTCCCTAGTGACTCAGTATGTCAGAATAGGGGTAAAGGGAGGAGTGGGGACCCCTTTGGTGCCTGGGATGGGAATAAAGCCTAATGGGATTCAGGCACCCTGCTTCTTCTCAGGATCCCCCACAGAGGCTAGTTCCTAGGCAGGAGCCTTACCCTTGTCTTCGCCTCTGGACTCTCTCCCCACACTGAATGAAGACCTGTGGGAACCCTGGGCCTTCCCAGCCCTAAAAATCCAGCTCCTGGGTGCCCCTCCCTCAGGACACCCCAGGCCCTGCTGGCTCCCAGCTACCACTTATCTTTTTGACTCTCACTCCGGTCCTTTGGCCATCACAGCCTGGTGCCTCCTGCTCCTCCCAGGAGATCCCATGGTAAGGCACTCTAGTGCACACCTGGGGGGCACTGGACTGCCCTCAGAGATGGGCCTTGGATATAGGCTCCAGACAGACAAGGATCAGAGAACCCCAAGGAGGTGGGGAAGGGTGCATTCATCCCTATCCACCTAGGAAGAGTGTTCCAGGACCTCCCACTAAACGTGGTCTGACCCTGTAGTCTGTGAACAGAGGCCCCTCTTCGCCTCCCTCCCAGACTCTCCCTGGAGCCAGGGCTGTGGTGAAGAGCCCCCAGAGGCAGTCTCTGAGCCAGGGCTCCTATACCTGCAGCTAAGGTGCTCCTGACCACACCCGGCCAGTGGCAAGCTGCCAGGTTCTGGTGGCTGGGGTTCAGGGGCCCTCGTATCACCTCCTCATGGTTGGGTCTCCTCAGTGTCCAGGTGCTCTGGGGCTCTGTAGTCGAAGATCCAGGGGATATGTGTCTGGCCCGGTTCCTCCCCATTCAGGCTGCTTAGGGTTTTATCACCTCTACGTGGGTGTGTCTGTTCAAAGGTCAGTGGCCAACAATCCTGCTGCCCCAGTGGCTGGGCCCATGGCTTCCCTAACCCTACTCCAGTCTGGATTCTGGGCCCAGGCACCTGAGCTGCCTCTGAGGCACCTACTTCCCCATCTGAGAAGGCTCCTGATCACCCACTTGGCCCACTCCACATGCCTGTCTCACCAAAACCCGTTCACTCACTGAGCACTTCATCACCAGATTTTCCTCACCACTCCCCACCAGGAGACCCATCTCCCAATGGAATCACCACTCTCACACCTATTCCTGTCCTCCCCTCAGGCCACACCAGCGGAAGGATCCTATATGGGTAAGACCTTGGCTTTGTGACCCTGAAGATGGGGTACTGGCCCAAAGCCACCAACTCCATACTGGGCTGATGACACCTTACACAGTGTGGGTGACCCGGAATTGTGAAGCCTGAGGGCCATCTCACCCTATTCTCCAGTGGTCCTCTATAACCCCTCAGGGCACCAGCCCTTAGGAAGCTGCTGCCATGGAGCTGAGCCACTGGCCTCCCAAGCTCAAGACTCCTCTGGCTGAGCTGAGATTCCAATAGGGTGGGGTAAATGTCATAAAAAAACCATTTCAGGCTCTGGACCTTGATCCATGGCATAAGAGCACTTGAAAGTGGTTGCTCCATAAAGTGACTACTAGGATGGAAGAGATGGTGCCTGGACCACTCCCACCCAAGCCCCAGTACAGATAGGTGGGCACAGTGCCCACAAGGGAGGCAGCAGATATCAGTGGCTCTGGGACAGCAGACAGCAATGATAGCAAACCAACAAGAGGTTCTGGGAGACTGGGATTGATGAAACCATGGGGCTCTGGTTCCCCACACACAGCTGACAGAGAAAGAGACACAAACTGTAACCATAATTCCAATCTTGCCTGGCATCCCCTCTTCCCTAGCGCCACCACTCTTTCTACCCTGCAGTCTCCCCATGGTCTCCTGTGCTCCTTTCTCAGTGATCCCACTCTCCCCATCCCTCTCCACTCTCTCTATTCTCCTCTCTCCCCACCCCCCTCTCTACAGGCTTCCCCTTGCCTTCTCCCACTTCCTCATACACCTTCCCTCCCCTCTCTTCATTCCCATCCCCATCCCTCCCCTCCATCCTCCTCCCTTATTCCAGCTGTAGTCCTGAAAGGAAGATGTCAACATCACCTAAATACCAATGTGCCCAAAGGCATGCACCAGGCTATTCACAGGACCAGCCCCGAACAGAGCCCACAGGTTGAGGTATGTGAGCCTCTAACCAATGCAAACACAAAGGACCCTGAGAACTGAGCTGGAAAAAACAGATAAACTGTTCTGCACTGGGAGAGAGACGGCAGTGCCACCTGTCAGGAGGGAAACAGCCCATAGATTTGGCTCAGGAAAATTAACCAACAAGCAAAACAACAACCAGTCTCAGGGAGTGAAAGATCAGGATTCAAAATGGCAGCAGTACACTATAAAAAAAAATTAGTATTTTTAAAACTAGTAGATTTTGTACTTGAGCAACTTTAAGTGCAGAGCAAAGTTCAGTGGAAAGCACAAAACTCCCACATGCCCTCTGCCTCTCACCCACTTGCCCCCTTATCACCATCTCGCACTAGTGTGATGCATTTGCTACAGTTGATGAGTTAATTAAAACATTTTCAATCTCAAATTACAAGACAGTGAAAGAATCAGGAAAAGTGTGAACAACATTCAGGGAAAGAAGCACATAATAGAAACTACCTTGGAGTGGACCAGATGTTAGACTTAGCAGACAAAAACAAAATTAATGGAAAACATATTTAAAGATAAAGGAGAGTGGGGAGAGAAGTAATCGGAGTCTGTAATCCCAGCACACAGGAAGCTGAGGCAGAAGGATCACAGTGAGTTTGAGGCCAGCCTGGGCAACATAAGCTAGTTCAAGGCCAGCCTGAACTGCTAAGTGAGACCTTGTCTCAAAAAATAAATAAATAAATATGTTAATAAAAATTTTAAAAAACCTAAAAAAGAAAAGATAAAGGAGAATATGATGAAATGAGTTAAATAATCCCAGTAAATAGTTCATTAAAAGAATCAAGCCAGTGATATCTACCTGTGGTCTAAGCTACTTGGGAGGCTGAAACAGAAGAATCTCTTGAGCTCAGGAGTTCAAGGCCAGCCTGGGAAATGTAGGAAGACCCTGCCTCCTAAAAACCAAGAACCAATGAGAATCCAAAGTGTTGAAATCCAAAGACAAAGAGAAAATTTTTAAAAGGCCAAGAGAGAAACGATACATGTATACAGCATCAATCAATGACTAACTTCTTATTAGAAACAATGGGGTCAGAAGGCAACATGTGAGGAAGGAATATACCAGCACTTCACATCTACAGAGAAAATGGAGACACTCTATGAAACTAGGCCTACCTGGATACCAAAACTAGACAAAGGCAGTCACCTTGCAAAATTATAGACCAGTATCACTCCTGAACACAGACACAAAGATCCCTAATACAATATTAGGTAAATTCTGCAACACATGAAAAGGAATTTATTCCAGGTATGCGAAGTTGTTCTAATATTTTAAAAATTGCAGAGTGTGGTAGCATACATCTGTACTTCCAGCACTTGGGAGGCTGAGGTAGGAGGATCACCATGAGTTTGAGGCCAGCCTGAGTTACACAGAGACCCTGTTTCAAAAATAAATAAATAAATAAATAAATAAATATCAATTAATTATGCTGTGATGCTGTGAATGAATAGACACACAAAAAATCATCTGACAAAATTCAATAACCATTTATTGTTAAAAAATAATCTTCGCAAAGTAGGGAAAGCCCCTGAGTTCAATCCCAGTACCATAGGGGATGGGGGCTAGGAATAGGAGGCAACTTCCTAAACCTAGTAAGAAGGTATGTACCTACAAGAATCATATGACAAACACCATGGTTAGCAGTAGGAGACTAACAGGTCCCTCCTTCATCTTGGGAAAAAACAAGGAAGCCTACTTTCACTATTCATTTAGCACAGTGCTGGAGGTTCAATGGATGAAAGGGTGAGTCTTGAGGACATTATACTAAGTAAAAACTGTAACCCGAACACAAGGAGACAAATACTGTATGATCTCACTTATATGTGATATCTAAAAACATTGAACTTGGAAGCAGAAAGCGGAAAGGTGGCTGTTGAGGAGGGCCATAGAGTGAAGAAATGGCGTATTGTCCCAGGGTACAAACAGCAACTGATAAGATCACAAATCCTGGGGATTAATATACAACATGGGTGGTGAAGGGTATGTTAATTAATTAGATTATAATGATCATTACACAATATGTACATATATCAAAGTCTCACATACACCTTTAATATATATAATATTTGTCCACCAGTTATTTTAAAATGAAAAGAACCTGGGTATAGAATATATTAATAATTCTTACAATTTAAGAAGACAACCTAATTGAAAAGTGTTCAGAACATCTGAATAGACACTTCACCAAAGAAGGTACTGTATAGGGATAACAGACCCATGGAAAGGTGCTCAGCATCTTTCTCAGCATTACTCTATCTCAGTTGATAGAGTAATGCAGATGTAACCCTGCATACCTTCTTGGATGGTTGTATGGGCTGAATTGTCTCCCCTAAAGTCTTATACTGAAGTTTGTTTTTTTTTTTTTTTTTTTTCTGTCTTTTTGAGACAGGGTCTCGCTATGCAGTTCAGGTCGACCTTGAGCTCACTTTGTAGCCCAGGCTGGCCTCGAATTTGCAATGATCCTCCTGCCTCTGCCTCCCAAGTGCTGGGATTACAGGTGTGCGCCACCACACTGTACTGAAGTTTTAACCCTCAAAATGTGACTGTATTTGGAGATATGTTATTTATTTATTTACTTATTATTTATTTATTTACTTGGAAATACCATCTTGCTACATATCCCAGACTGGCTTGAATTCACTATGTAGCCCAGGCTGGCCTCAAACTCTCTATGATCCTCCTGCCTCTGCCTTCCGAGTGCTGGAATTACAGGCATGTGCCATTATGCCCAGCAAGAGACAGAGCTTTTAAAGGGGCAACTGACTTAAAATTAGGGCACTGTGGTGGGCCCTAATCAAATATGACTGCTATCCTTAGAAGTGGAAAGACTAGGACACAGACACATAGAAAGAATATTTTATTAAGACACAGGAAAGCGATGCTTGTCTATAAGTTAAGGAGGAAGGCCTTGATGTAACAGAAAATGCACCCCCGCCCCAGCCAGTGTACTTCAGTTTCTTAGTTGCCCAGGTAATAGTTCCTATTCCAGTTCTGGTTGCTTCTGTCTCCTAGAAATGGCTGGTCACTGTGAGGCATAGCTGGTCACTGTGATGCACATTGTGTAAACAAATCCCCAATTGGCAAGCCATTGTGCCTCTGTACTTCCTGCTTGCTTATCCCATATAATCCCTAGACCACCAGAGATCAGGGTCTGATATCCTGGGAATGATCCTGATCAGTGCCCATCGATGTAAATAAATCTGCCTCCAAATTCTGGGTGTCATTTCCATGTTCCTGCTTGCTGTTGCATCAGGAGAAATCAAACCTGCTGACTCCTATGTCTTAGACTTTGGCTTCCAGAACAGGGACAAAACAAATTTCCCTTATGCCACCTATCTGTGGTAATTTGGTTATGGCAGCCCAAGCAGGCTAATATGGATGACTATAATAAAAGAGATAAAAAATGTTGGTGAGAATGTGGAGAAACTAGATCCCTCACACACTGATGGTGAAAATGTAAAATGCTGCAACCACTGTAGAAAATCACTGTGGCATTTTCTTAAAAAGCTAAACATCAACTTTCCATTTCAATTAGCAGTTCCCTTCTTTGGCATCTACCCAAGAGAAATGAAAATACATATCTACCAAAGACTTGGAAGGAATGCTCAACATTATAAACAATACATGACTTGGAACGATCCAGATGCCCACTGATGAATGCAACATGATGCATGCATGCAACAGGTATGTTGTGGCTTACCAACAACTATGAGCCCAGGACCCAAGGGTCACATCTGCCATTGACACACCATTCAAAGCATGGCACACAGTCCACCAACCACCTGCTGGAGGCTGTCTGTACATTGGGCATCCTCCAGATATCAATCACCAGTGACTAGGAAAGATGAGATTCACCCCAGGAAAGCTCACCATCCAGGGGTTCAGATTCTGACATAAGGAGACCATCCTCTGAGTGAGTTGGGGCCAAATCTAGTTGTGCCTGACTCCTACTGCTCCAAACTAGTGGGAAGCCAAGGGTGGGGAAAGGGCAGTCTTAGTACTCCACCAAGTCTGCTGAAGACCCAGGGATTCAAAGGTGGAGGAGCAAGGGCTCAGCTGGTCCCCGGGTCTGCCCTCTGTGAGGAGATGGTGTGAAGGTGTGGGAGAAGTGTGGATCTGTGTGGTTCGTGTTTGAGGTGAGTCAGGGTATGTGAAGTGTGAGTATGGTGCATGACAAGTGGGTATGAGGTATGTGTGAAATATGTGAGGCATGTGAGATATATATGAGGTGTACATCAGGCACGCGAGTGTGAGGTGTGTGAGATGAGGTCTATGAGAGTCAGGAACATGCCTAGGAGGGTGAGGGGCCAGGGCCAGGTCTAACGTGGGAGGGCGGCCTGACTGCTGCGGTTCCTCCTCCAGCAGGAGTCTCCATGGCAACCACAGCCTCGGTCTCGCAGCTCCAGCCCCTCGCCCGCCCCGCCCCGGCTGCGAAGCGTCTGGAACTGCATCCTCCGCATCCACATCCGCATCCCCGTCCTCCTGCGACTGAGTCCTGCAGCAGCTGCCGTTGGAACCTCCAGTGAGCCATTTCCACGTTTCTCCTTGTGGAGTGGGGGCGAAGGGGCCCTAGTGTGTGCAGGAGTGTGCAAGGACGGATGTGAGCAGTTTGAGAATGTGAGGGTGTGCGTGTGAGTGCCTGTGGAGGGTGTGGAGGGTGCTAATGTATGCAGGAGCACTTCAGGGGATCTGGTGGCTGCCAGGGAAGCCAGGCACAGCCGCCCTCTTCCCTTGGGGTCTCTGCCGCGGGCCAGTCCGGCTTTGCTGACTGTAGGGGGGGGGGCGGTCCTCCGGCCTCTCAGGACGGGGTGGGGGAGTAACCCTGCTGACTTGGGGCGGACTAGAGGTGGTTCCCTCCCGGGATGTCGGGAGGCCAATCGCAGCTGGGACGTTTGGAAAAGGCCAGGCATGGTGCCCTGTGCCTTGTCCTGGGCAACGTCGGGCAGTGGAGGGCCTAAGACTGCCTGACATCAACCCACCTGGCCCACAGTGACTTCAACCCTCTCCCTGTGAACTGGCTCCACCCCTGCAGGTCTGAGAGAGCCAGTGGGAGTTGTGTGTCCCCAAGGTGGGCAGGGAGCACCGGGTCCAACTCTTGGTCAGCTGTATCTGAGTGCGGAGAAGAGGGAAGAGGAGTCAGAAGAAGGGGGAGCAACAGAACTGGCCTTAGACCGGAGCACCGAGGATCTGCTACCTGCATGGGGGTGGAGGCATGATGGGGGTGGCTGTGTGGCAGGCAGGAGGTAGATAGAAAGTAGGAAGTGGTATTCTTCCAGAACCACCTGCGGAAGTGCTGGATGCGCGGCCACAGGTGGCTGGTACGTGGGAAGCCGCCGGCACCTGTGCCTGCTCCCAGTTTGCTTAGACCACGCAACTCCTGGGGCCTTGCACCCAGAGACAACCAGCTGTAGGGCAAGGGGTGAGAGCGCTAGGTGTTTGCAGCAGGCGGGAGGGGAAGTGCGGGGGCAGGGACAGGCCCTCGGCTGTTGCAGTAGCGCGCTGCGACGCACTTGCGCTCGTGCTCGTGCTCGTGCTCGTGCTCGTGCCCGGCCTGCACAAGCCCGCGCCCTGCGGTGCGCGCCTCCCCTTGTGACGCAGCATCTCAAGGTGGTGGGTGATGCGTGCGAAAGCAAGGCTGTGACATGACCTCTAGCCCAGCTTCCGTGGACTTTCAACCAAGGGTCCCCACCCCCATCCGTCCGTCTGTTAGCATACTATGCACACGCAGTCACCAAATCTTGGAGAGGAGAGATGCAATTACGCTGCAATAGAAATGCATGGCGAGTTGGGGTACTGGGCAGACGACGCACAGGAGACAAGATTACAGAACAGGGTGGACGGGGGTCGGGCCGGTGTCAGTGGGAAGGGTCGGGACACCCCGTTCCCAATTTTACAGAGCTGTGTGAATGAGCCCAGCCTGCCTTCCCATTAGGTCCCTATGACGCAGTGACTGAGAGGAATATTATGGTGTGAACAGAGGAGAGTAAGCAATTGCACACAGACCCCCTTCTCAGCACGAGGGTCTAGAACCAGATGCAGGGGATCTACACGCCCCCCCAACTATTTTCCACCTCTAAGACCTGGCTTTGGGGGGGCTGCTCTGTTGCCGTGGGAACCCTTGAGGAAGTAAAGTGGTCTGCTTGCCACGTCAGGCTAGCTAGAGTTCACTTTTGGCTCCCAGAGGACCCGAGGTGGGGTTCAGAGGAAAGACCCCTTTCCTGCCGGAATGGGGGTCCTGGGCGGCCTGTCTCAGGGCTGAGCCCCCGCTGTAAACGGCTGGTGTGCCTCGGAAGTGCGCGTGTGAAGGCTCCGGACGCTGTTCCTTGGTGCACGCCCCCTTCCAATTGCCCTATCTCTCACAGGGTCCTGCGACCCTCGCCCGCCTTTCCCTGTTCAATCGCCTCCGAGCGATCACTAGGCGGTTTATATTTATTTTCGATAGCTATTTTTCATTTCTGCCTCCAAGCAGCGACTTCTGCACCCCCACCCCCACCCCCCGTTCGGAGAGCCGCGTGATCTGCGCCAAGGATGACGCACGATGAATTTTCATTCCATTAGCCGCAGGTTGCTCATCAGCCTCAGGCGGAGGCAAAGAACCAGCGCCCTCCCCAGGCTCCAGTCCACCTGTGGAAGAGCCTCCCAGCTTTGGTGTGTGGGGGACGCTGCCTGACCTCTTCTGGAAGGACAGGGTCACTTTGGGTAAACACACATGGAAGGAAGTGACTCTCCCCCCTCCCCAGGAATGCCTGGCTGAGGTCAGGAGCATGGTAGAGCTCTTGTTTTCCCTCAGAATGGCATCCTGGCCGGCCCTACTCTCCTAGCCAGCCCTCACTCCCCACTAGCTCCTTCTGCACACCCTTATCCTGTGCATCTGGGGGGCTAGGCTGTCTGTCTCTGGGTGGGGCACCATGATACTTGCCAGCCCTGCAGGTGTGGACACACCAGAGGGGCCTGGCCACTGCAGGGTGAGAAACGGTGGTCCCCTGCAGATCTGGAGGGCACCTGGTTTTATGAGAGCTGCGTCATAAATGACCACAAATGGGTGGATTGTAACAAAATAAATTTATTCTTTTACAATTCTAGAACCAAGAAATCAAAAACCAAGGTGTCAGCAGAGCTGTACTCCTCCAAAGCCTCAAAAGAGGGGTCTCTCCCTGCTCCTTCCTGCTTCTGGTGGCCCTGGGCATTCCTCGGACTGCAGCTCCATCACTTGTCTGCATCCCGCTGCACAAGGCATTCTTGGCATGCATCCAAATCTTCTTTTTACAACAACACTGTCATTGGATTAGGACCCACCCTAACCCAGTATGACATGTTAAACTGGTTACATCTGCAGAGACTTTATTTACAAATAAAGTCACTTTTACAAGTACCACGGGTTAGGACTTGGTGAGGGGTTTTTGGTGTTTGTTCGTTTGACATCATTCACCCCACAGCAAGTCCTTTGTCACTTGTGTTTCAAATATCTTCCAGTTTTGTTCTCTGCCTCTACTCTTTAAAGACTGTGGTTTTTTGTTTTGTTTTGTGGCACTAGAGATCAGACCCAGGGCCTTCACACTAAACTATATCCCTAGCCTATTTTTTTTTTATTTTTTATTTTGAGACACATTCTTCTTAAATTGCTAAATTACCCAGGCTAGTCTTGAACTTTTAATCCTCATACCTCAACTTCTCAGAGGGCTGAGAATGTAGGCATTTACCACCACATCCAGCGAAGGCTATGTTTTAATAAACACAAGTTTATAATTTCAGTGTAGATGTTTTATCAATATTTCCTTTTATGAGTAATGCCTTTTTCTCCTATTGAAGAAATCTTTCCCTCCTGAGACCAAGAAAATCTTCTTCTATATTATCTGAGATGCTTAACTGTTTTGATTTTTCCATGTGTAAGCACCGAGAGCAGCTTTCTGTGTATGGTATGAGGTAGGGATCAGCTTCACTGTTTCCAGGTGGATATTGCTTTATCAAGAAGTGTGCAGTGGTATCTCCATTGTAAACCAGGATCCACGTGTGTAGAGTGTGTCACATGGATCTGTCTGCCATGCATTAGCACCACTTGGCTTCCACTGCTATGTACAAAGCAGACAGCTGACAGAAACTGCCCCTTGATCTTCATCAAGATGTCTGCATGTTCCTTCCTCTGCCCTCCACATGAAATTTCAATGCTTGTCAAGTTCATTAAAAACAAAAACCTGTTGGAATTTTGATTGGGATGTACTGATTCTACAAAAATGTGGGGGGTACTAAACACGAAGATCTCCAAAACCTGCAATCATCCATGACCATACCCTTCTCCACTTCTTAGGGGACTCAGCTATTTAGTTCTCCTTTGACCACAGTCAAAAACATTTTATGACTTTGTAAACAGAGGTGCTTCCCACCTCTGGCTACACCTACTCTAGAGCATTTGGTATTTTTGATACTATTGAACTAGAATCTTTTTTGTTGCTGTTGTTTTTGTTTGGTTTGGTTTTGGTTTTGGTTTTCTTAAGACCGGGTCTTGCTGTGTAGTTCAGGAGGTCTTAAGCTCACTATGAAGCACAGGCTGGCCTCCAACTAGGAGCAAATCTCCTGCCTCAGCTTCTTGAGTGCTGGGATTACAGGTGTGCACCACAATGCCCGGTTTAACTGGAATCTTTCAAAAGTCATTTTCTATATTTTTTTGGCCACTAACATATAGAAATGTAACCAATGACATCAGTGTTCTCACTTTCAATCTTTATAATTTATGTGTAGTATTTTTTGGATTTTCTACACATAAAACATCTTCATCCATGAATAATGATAGTATTACATAATTTGTGCTGGCCTCAGGTCTCATTTCTTTGCCCTGCACAGCTGCATCGGCTGAGACCTCCAGCTTTCTGTTTTATAGAACTGACCTGGTCAAGGACATGTTTATCTCCTTTTTCATCTCAAAGGCAGGAAGATTTACATTCTATATGCTCTGCTGTAGGGTTTTTCAGGATAACTATTATAAGGTTAAAGAACTTTCTGGCCTTAATGTGCTAATAAGTTTTTAAAATAGTAAATGATGGTCAAATCTTAACAGATAACTTTTCCATTCCCATTGAAACTGATCAGATGATTTTTTTTCAATATTTTTAACATGGTGAAGATACTGACTGCTTTTCAAAAGTTAAAACAATTTTCAAGTCCAAAATACACCCAACTACTCCTGATGTGTTGGTTTTTACGTCTTGCTCCATTTGGCTTCCTCAAATTTCATTTGGGGGTCTTCGTTTTGATGTCTGCAATCTTTGCTTCTTGTAGTCCTTGCCAGGCTATGATAAGGTCAAGGTTATATAGGCCCCAGGAGGTAGCAAGTGTTACCTTATTCTCTTCTCTGGGAGTATATTAAAAAATTCTCTGGGAGAATTCATCATCTCCTCTACAATGTGATGCTTGTATTGTTTACTCTTAACTGACTGGAAGATCAGCAGTGATATTCTCTGGGCTTGGAGTTCTTTGTGAGAAGGTTTTAACAACAGACTCAATTTTTCAACAGACACAGGACCTTTCTTTTTCTAATGATTGAGTGTATTTTACTTATCTACTTTGTCCATCATCAGCTTGAAGGTCATCTGCTGCATTCCTTTTCTGTCAAAGCTCACCCTAGAGGTGAAAGCATGCATCCTTGACTCACCCAGTGTTAGTGAGACCTACACTCTGAGTCCCATGGAGCCTCATCTTGACAGACAGCTCTTATCATGGGATTTCAGCTCTCCAAAATGTCTGGTCCTCTACCATTAGGACCAGGTTCTACAGTTAGTGCCTGGATTTACTTGCAAACACCCTCTTTAAGTACCTGTTCCTTAATTCCTGCATCTCCAGCAGGGATTATCGGCTGAAATGCTAAACACCCAGTTATATATGAATTTCAAGTAAGGTGATGAAAGACATTTTGGTATAGATATGTCCCCTCTCTCATATTATATGGGACATGCTTATATTAAAAAAAGTATTCATTGTTTAACACAAATTTAAATTTAACTGGACCTTCTATATTTTTATTTGCTAAGTCTAACAAGCTACAATTTCTCACTGCTCTCTGGATCTTTTAATTTAAGTGGAATAGCTGCCCTTTGAGTGGGATACGTGCTTCTGGAACATTCTCCACAGTAGGCTGGCTGATAGAAGACTCTCCAGTTTGGGGTCTGGGTAGTTTCTGGCCAGAGGTGCCATCTATACTGCTACAGAGCTCAGAGGGTCAGGAAGGGACTAGAAGTCTTTGCCTGGATTCTTCCCATTTGGCCTGAGGTTGGCCTGACCGCCCACAGCCTGGTCCTGGCTCTGGTATGATGGGCACTGGGACCAGCCTAGAGTTCTGTCCCTCCAGTGCCAACTGATATGTGTGCCCATAAGGTAGCCAGTGGGCAATGACCCTGTCTCTGTCTCTGGACCAGGAGAAGAGCCACCATTCACCATGGTGAAGCTGGGCTGCAGCTTCTCTGGGAAGCCAGGAAAAGACCCTGGGGACCAAGATGGATCTTCCACAGACAGTGTTCCTCTGATTAGCCCCCTGGATGTCAGCCAGCTGCAGCCACCATTTCCTGACCAGGTGAGCAACCTAGGCATACATGGGGGACTTTCTCCCTATTGCTTGGGAACAAGGGGTGTGGGTGAGGCTCATATAGATGTTCTTCCTCAAAGGCACAGCAGAGGGGCTGGGGATTTAGCTCAGCGGCAAAAGCGCCTGCCTGGCAAGCGCAAGGTCGTGAGTTCGGTTCCTGGTACCGGAGAAAAACCAAAAAAAAAAAAAAAAAAAAAAAAGGCACAGCAGAATAAAGGCCAGGCTGGGCTGAAACCCCAGTGGACCATAGGCAAGGCGAACCTCCTATTCAGGGCCTTTGTACCCAGAGCTCCCCTTTCCATCTGAAACAGGGGAAGTTGGTCACAGGATGCCTGAAAATTTGAGTCCCCATCCCATGATACATCCAGAGGGGATCGGGAAGCCACAATTCCCACCTTTTCCCTGCCAAACATGGTCAGGGTAGAGATGGAAGACTTGGGCAAGTGACTGATAGAGGGTGGGCTTCCTGCAAAAATAAGTGAGAAACAAAGAGCCTGGATCAAGCCCAGCCCACCCTGCCCTCCCAGAACTCTGGGCCTGAAGGACACTGGAAGTTGTCCTAACCGGAGGTGAGGGGGATGACATGTGCGCTGCCAAGCCTGTCACTCCTGGGGGCCAGGGCAGTTCTCTGGCTTTCCTAGTGTACAGCTACATCTATCACAGCAGCGGACACTGTGAGCAGGCTCACACTTTGCCCCTTGAGAGCACACAGAGCTCAGCACTTAGAACTGTTTCCATGGGGCTGGGGATTTAGCTCAGTGGCACAGCTCCTGCCTGGCAAGCACAAGGTCATGAGTTCGATTCCCAGTACCAGAAAAAAAAATAAAAAGAAAAAAAAGAAAAGAACTGTTTCCATATGTACCTCCTGTAGTAGAGCCCCCAAGACACTCAGAACCAGCAGAGAAGTGGAAATAGACTTCCTGGAAGAAGAGGCCAACCTGTGAAGCCACCAAAAGAGAAGTTCATGGCAGTGAAAGCCAACACCTCAGACTACAAGGCAGCTGGTGAAGTAAGAGGCTCCATCAGCCTAGCTAGGCCCCGGACTATCATGGCTCCCAGCAGATTCACGTCTCTCAACCTCTTCTGGCTTCAGCTTGTAGCTACTGGAGTTCTGCTGGCCATCAGACGGTCCTGCCAGGTGGTCAGCATCCACACCACTACCATGCAGTAGACACTGGCTCCCAACCTTCTTAGTTCAGGGCTCTCCTGGATCCCTGTCAGCTGCTCAAAGAGACCATGGCGATCTCTTTCTTTAGGTGGTCATCAAGACACAGACTGAATACCAGCTGTCCTCCCCGGACCAGTCAAAGAAGTTCCCAGACCTGGAGGGGCAGAAGCTGAACTGCAACCACCCAGAGGAAGGGCGCAGGGTAACTATATGCACCCACCCTTGTGGGGAGTCAGAGCAGGGGGAGAAGGGGCAGGGGCAACACAGGCTCAGGCCAGGTCGAGTCCTCCTTGAGTCTCCTCAGAGAGGAAAGCTGGTCAGACATCGCATTCCAAGGCCACCCTTCCAGCACTGGCTAATCTTCAGCTGCCAGGCCTGCCCAGCCGTCCTCGCAGTTGCTAGCAGAGTTCTCAGCTCCTGTGCCCCTGTCATCCCATTCTTTTCCTAGGAAATACCAGTTTCCCCAGTGAGTCACTGTCTTTTCTTTATTGACTTGCAGGCTAAGTTATGTTGGTACTGCTTTTTCTGCAGCATAGCTGTCAGATATCTTCTCTCATCTTTTAACCTGTTAAGTTTTAATCTCTTAAATTTACCAATAATGGCTTTAGTCATTTTTGGTGGACTGTTTCCTAAAGCTTTTCATTTTTCAGAAGCAGTAGCTATCCCTTTTCCATTAAGCCCTTGGTTTCTTCAATAGAAATGCCGCCAGAGAGGCACTGGGGCCTTGCTGTACTTCCCATGAGTCCATGGGGCTGGTACTAGTGAGTACCCCTCACTGGGAGCCCTGAAGATGGCTCGTAGTATGCAGGACCCTGCACCATGCTGGCCACCAGCCTTTGTACATGTCATCTGACAGGACAAATTCCTATAAGCACCTACTGAGTCAAAGCTTACATGTACTTTTCCTGGTAGCAGATGCTTCTAGAATCACAGCAGAGAGGCCTGGCAAGGCTTTGATCCTGTGGTTTCTGGACCCTTGGCCCTGGTGCTTACCAGGACTTGGGCACTGTGGTCTAGCACCAACAACTAAGTTCCCCTTCTTTCCCTCTCCCAGCTGCCCACAGCCAGGATGATTGCTTTCGTCATGGCACTCCTGGGCTGTGTGCTGATCATGTACAAGGCCATCTGGTATGACCAGTTCAGCTGCCCTGATGGCTTCCTGCTTCGGGTAAGGTGGTAGGGCCTGTGACCGGGGCAGGGGACAATAGAAATCACCCCAAATCTCCCACAACCTCCAGACAGTTCTCCCAAGCATGCTCTTGCTGGGAGCCTCTCTCCTTCCCAAAGAACTACCTGGGTCTTTGGCTCTGCACTGAGCCTTGGGTTCTGTCCTAGAGGCCTGGCCTTCATCAGCTGGAAATTAAGCCCCCTCTGTCCTTCCCCTTCGGCCCTGAACCGCCACCCCACTTCCACAGCACAAGATCTGCACGCCTCTGACCCTGGAGATGTATTACACCGAGATGGACCCTGAGCGTCACCGCAGCATTCTGGCGGCCATCGGGGCCTACCCCTTGAGCCGCAAGCATGGCACTGAAATGCCATGGGCGGACAGCTACCACGCTGTCAAGGGAGCGCACAAGGTGCCCACCCAGGTGGGAGCCGCGG